AACTCAAGCTATAATTTAAACTGAACTTTAAAATGACAATTTTTGCTCCTTCCCCTGCCTCATTTTTTTGTAATTTGTCAAAGTTGAAACTGTGCCACCCTGTCTTCACTGGACAGTTATAATACACAAAAAGAGAGAGCAAACTCCACAAGCTTAAAGTACCACAAACATTTAAGACTATTAGCCGTGTGAGTCAATTTCTGGAGAACCGAATGAACTACATAAACTGCAGAAAAAGAATCTAGACACTGATGTCATTTATAAGGCTGTCACTGTGTCAAACAAAACACTGCAGTGATCCACAACCTCCCATTGCTAGAATTGACTTTTCTAAGGATACACTTAGGTTAAATGCAGTTAGAATTGGAACCAACTCTGTAACTCTTTTCACTCTTTACTATGTGTGGCACCCAATTTTATTCTTTGGTATAAAGCGAGTATCACAGTTTTAATCAAGCCTTCTCTATGAAGCACAACGGAGTACACAGGCTGTCATCTGGCCTGCTGCTGTCAATTCCTTGGCAACTCCTGAAACAGCCTTTCAAGTTGTAGAACTTGAAATTTTGGAGAAAGCCCTCTTGTGTTGGATACCATAACATGGTATCTTTCCTCATTTATTTTTTATAGGGGAAGTGTGATTGTATATGACTATGTCTTACACTATGTGGTCCATTATAGCAAAAGTGAACTAACTTTAAAAAACAATAAATTAATTTTTTTGATTTGCAGAGGCTAGGAAGGCTAAGCTTACAGTACTTCTGAGTGAGGGCTTGCCCTGTTTCACAGACATTGCTGTCTTACAGTATGTCCTCACATGGCATAAGGTGCTAGCTAGCTCTTTGGGGTACCCTTATAAGAATACCTATTTCATTCATGTTCTCAGAACCCTGCAACCTAACCAACTCTCAAAGCTACTGCTATCTATTAGCCTCAGGCTGGCATTTAACATTGTAATGCTATTTTAGCATATGAATTTAGGGAATACAAACTCTCAGACCTAGCCAACTGAATTCAAACAGAATATTTTTCACCTGCGATTCTTAGATTACAAGATACAAAAGCATACCTTCAAGTACTCTCCTAAAGAATTCATCCTAGAATAATTATCATAAGTTAGTGTCTGTTCAAGACCATGGACACACTAATTAACTTACTCCTTTGTTTCTCTTCTCTATAGATTGTTTTCCTTAGTGGGAAAAACTCAGTTTTATTATCCCTATTTCAAAATTGTTCTGAAAATGTAGCAATGTTTTGTGATGTGATTATGTCCATCTCTCAAGATGGCATATTCATGTTTGAATTGTACCATTTCTGGCAAGACTGCATTAAAGTTTTCCCATTTTTCATCAATTTCGTTTTTAGTATTTTCAAATGTTCATAAAGCTTTTAGATGCATCAGCACATTTCTGTTCTAGGAACATATTTGGCCTTAATCTTTTGTGTTATCTTACTTTTCAAATTTGGATATCTATTATCTTGTAAAGAATCAGAGGGAAACAATAAGGAACTCATTTAGTCTATCTCTGGTTCTGATTCTTAATTTCAAGTGGATAGATTTTTTTTGACAATAATACATCTTCCTTGGTGTCTCAACAACTGCATTACGGTGCAATAAACCTGATGGCTTTGATATAAAGACTAAATTTGAGCCTGTGGCACAAATCTCCAACACTATCGGGACAGAACTGGGAAGCATTCTTGTAGAGAGATGCAATATCTTCAGAGGCCATCTTGATAATGAAATAAATTTGGATTCCGTAAGAGGATTTCACAAAACAATTTTAGACTGACTGATAAATACCTCAAGCAGTTGAGTATGTTCATAAACTGGGAGGAAGGAAAGAGAGAGATGGAGACCCTTTCACATGAACATTAATGATGAATGTTTGAAGAAAGCAATTCGGTTAAAAGAGAGCACCAGTAACCTGTAGGTCTGCTGCTGTGCCCTTGGATAAATCTGCTGTTTGCCCCTTTATTTACTGTGCTTCCTGGCAGATCCCTTATGAGAGATTGAAGGAGGGTAGCATTTTGAAAAGGCATTTTGTCATGAAAGAACAAGAGCCATTAGGAGGTTTTTCCATCCCACGTGTGATGCTCAGGAGCTACACAAACTCAGGCTCAACACTTCCTGCTTGGGGAAGTGAACCGGTTTAACTCCAGGACCTTCCAGATCACAACAGACTGCTATCAAGTCCTGCTTTCTTGCTTTCTAAGAACATATGCCTGTTGAATCCTTTTATTGACTCAACTTTCTCTGGCCTTTGGAAGGGCAGTTCTCAGATGCAGTGCTTAGGTATACATTATCCCTAACAAAAGCTTTGACTTGAGGTTTAAGAAGCCAGCCAGTGGGCTCATCTATGTAGATTTATTTAAAGCTATTAGCAGGCCCTTGTAGAAGTAATTTACTCTATACCCAAGAAGCAAACTTCATTAAAAAAAGACTCAGAAGTCACCTGAGGCTGTCAGAGTTTATCTGCCCCAGCACTACACTACATTGTCATTTTAATCTCCCATAAGGACTCATATGCATTTGCCAGATCAAGCAGACAGGTGGAAGTTTCTAATCACAGAAGAAACTGAAGTCTGGGTGACGTGTTCCCTCTCAAGTCCACACATAGCAGAAAACACACTTCCTGCTTCTCCCTGTCCAGACTTTTCACCTCATAGTAGCTGAGGGCCTTCAGGAAGTTTTCCTGACCACCAAAATTCACAGGCCCAGGTGACATTACGAATACAGAAGTCACTTTTGCCAGTTTGGCCAAGAATAATTCCTGATGTGGCACCACTGTCAAGGACTCACTCTGAGATTTCCTGGTCAGCAAGAGGCATTTCAAGACCAGGTGTCTGGTTAGCTTCTTTTCCTGGGAGATTTTAAAGATTCCAAAGAGATGTAAAGTAAGTCTTCCTCAAAAGTGGTCTGAGAAACCTGTTAGTCAAAATCTTTATTTAGCCCCATACATAATAAAATAAACCTAATTTGAGGACAAGCTGCTATTTTTCCTGTTCTGGTCCTTGTGCTCCCCCTGGTGCCTGAATGAGAAATTCATTCAATAGAAAATTGAAGGTCAGCACATGAGTGACTGGGACTCCATAACTCCCTAGAGCCACAGGCTGTCTGCCTTTGTGTGCATCACAACTACAAATGAATTTTTATCAAGATCTGTGTGAAGTACTCTGCCATCAATATTATGTTTTAATTAACTTTTCAGAAGACCAAGATGCAAACAACAACAACAACAGAGAACCTGTCTCTGGAATGCAGAGCCAAGGAAAGCCTATGCCAGGGACATCAACAGAAACAGTCCTGTGATTTTATTATGCTTTGCAGTTGCTTTCTATTTTTAGAACTACTCCAGTGCTCAACACACAGAGACTCTGAAATCAGGTTTAACAATAGATATTCTAAGGTTTCTGCTGCAGGCAATTCTGAGAATTCCTGGTGAACACAGTACAGTTTCCTTAGAGGTAAAGCTTGCCAGAGGTAAAGAGAAACTTCACATCCTCCTGAGATCCAACCTTTAACCCCATGAGGCTATGGTTTATTTATGGTAAGACATGAAAAATGTACCCTGGCAGAGCCAGAAAATGATTTATTTTCCATAGGCCACGCCTGGTCTTTAGGGCACCATCTGCTTAAGGAGGGGATGTTAAAGCCACCCAGATGGATTCTCAGGCCAGACCCACAGATCTTGGTCATAAAATCTGCAAAAGGACTCATGAGGGTTATAGTCAATATAATGAGCACCAGAACGCATGCAAAACTACCCAGCAGAACAGTCAAGTGAAGAGACATGCTGTTGTTTCTGGAATCATTGCATGTATCTTTCTCTACTTTGCTGTGGTGACTGCAGCTGGGAGGTGACAGTAGGATGCCCTGAAGCCCAAGAGCATCCATCTCTCTCTGTCCCTTTATCCTCTGTTTTCTCGTCACATTCTTCCCTCACCTCACCTTAAACAGGTGGAAAAAATAACTAACTGGCAGAGCTATGCAAACCAAGAGATGTAGCTGTTGAGAAGCAAAGGCTAGTGTGCCTGTATATCCCCAAAGAAGCCAAAATTACTGTTACTGATGTGATTATTGCTAGAATCCACAGTAGTTTAAGGTATATAACAATGTTCTACAATCTACATGTGAAATAAATAGAAGGTTTTAAAATCTCTCAAGTAAGGTTACAAAAAAATCATTTTCTTTTTAAAATATGTGATTTTGAGTTGAGTAGAAAATTGCTAAGCAAACTATAATAGAAGGGTCATTTAATTCTTAACAATATTAAACACCCTGAGCAATGCATTGAAAATACTGAGACACATAAATGTTCCTTGTGGGAAAAGTAGGCTGTGTTCAAATTAATAGTTTTGGTGCCTAGGAATTAGGTTCTAGTATTCCCGCCAAAACTTAACAGCAACTATCGAATACAGACCACAAGAGAGCTGGCTCCTCAATGTCAATCAGTTGAATATTCTGCATTGTGTTCTACAGGTCATATTTGCCTTGATAATTCAGAAAACTGAGCTTGAAAATGGATCTGAAATTGTCTTCAAGACCTCATTCATTTTCAAAGAAAAAAATCATGACTCAGAGAGAGGTTAGATTACTGAGTCCAGGGACATAACACCCAGGCAGTTAATTGTTGATCTATTTCTAAGAACCAGGACTTCCCCTAGCCAATTAAAGGAAAATGATAAACAGTGGAAAGAAATACAAAAATATAAACAGCGTAATTAGTTGCTTGTTGCCTAAATCATTTTGAAGAAAATCATACACTGAAGGCACAAGGGACAAGAGGATGTCATTAAAGAGACTTTCTGGAAGGTAGAGATGGTGACAAGAACCTGTTCATTTAAACCATGCCCTGACATCCCTACAACAAATGTACTGGTTCTTTTGTTCTGTTTCTGTTTTATTTCCATAGGAATATGTGTTAAGAGTAATATTCCAGACAGCTTTGCTTCTAAAAAATAAATTCAACATTAAATGACTGCATAGCAAAAGTGAATACCTGGGGACTGAAATCACACCTGCACCAGATCTCAAGGGATTACACCGCATTTTCACAGCAGTCGATCGTCCATTAATACAAGATGTGGTAGCTGTAGAAGACCTATTATAAAGCAGGTACTAGATTAAAGATCAAATATGATACAGATAATCAGGACAAAAGTGCCATGTACAGAATGGCTCTCCTGTTCCATGAACAAACAAAAAGGCAAAAATGTATTAAGGGTTACTAATTTGTAACTTAACACAAATTCAGTGTATTGGCTTTCACTGGCTACCTGAAGTGGACAATTTTCCCAGATAAAATGATGGCCTATCATCAAGGCATTTAGTAAAATTACTATAATTCTAATCACAATTAAAAACAAAAGTGTTTTGAAGAAAACAGGACTCACTCATGTAAAAACATCAGGCTGGTGTTTTGATGTGTACAAAAGAAGTAATTACTGCTTAGGCCATGAGCCAAAGTCTCCTGACTGCTCAACCTCAACGAGTGTGTGTGTGCTCGAGTGTGCATGCACAAAATATTCCACGTTTCTCACTTTTTATCAAGCCATTTAATGCCCACATTTTTATTATCCATTAAACATGAGCTGCCATGCTAGGCATCCTGAAGCAACATTATGTTTCTTCCTTGCCACTGGGAAATTATTACCCAGAATAAGAATCAAAATCTATAGATTCAGATGTATGAGACCTTTATTCAAAAAAAATTAGTCACAGAAAGAAATATCTTCACTTACTTATAAAAGAAATGCACGTCTGGTATTTGGCTTGGTGACACTGGGAACATATCTTCCTTGATATTAACGTTTTGCAAGGCAGCTTCAACTGTGACTCCTAGACAACATTGACAAACGAGCTATGAAGCCACAGGGGCATCTAGGTTTACATAGTGTCTGTATATTTGAGTACAAAATACTTTTACTTTGACAACCATCTCAGAAATATTAAATTAAGGCACTCCTGGTGAGTACAAGGAACTTTCTGACATCTCTAGAAGAAATCAAAAAAGCCTCAGCCATATAATCTAGTAGTGCATTTCAATACCCTGGGCATTTTGTTGTTGTTTTCCTAGAATCCATAGGAAATACACAGTGATTTAGATGGTTTCTAATGTTTCAAAATACATCCCAATATTGTGATCTTCTATGCTAATTACACAAACCCTGGTGCTTTCATACCTGTAATTCAGGCAACTGGCTGGGCAGGACAGTGAAACCATAACCCCAATCCACCCACGAGAAAAGGGAAAATAACAGAGAAAACTTTGCCCTAATACTTTCCAGGAACAAATACCAAACTTGCTTAATCACACAGACAGGTTTTTCCCCTCACGTAGGTAAAACAGTGATAGAATTAAACTCTGGCAATGAGCAGGAGCCTGGTAGCTGACCTTGGTGCCGAAGCTTGAAGCTCAGTGCATTTGGAGACTATAGCAATGTTCTCTGATCAGGCCTCACAGCCCAAACTCCAGCTCTATCAGCACTTATAATGAACTTGATTCCTAAGAACCACTAGGGAGCTGGATTCCTCTTAAAACTTTCCCCAGACAGAGGGAGCAAAACTCAAGGTTTTCACCCTTGGTACTGAATGCCTTTTGGTGTGAGATGAGGCAATAAACACAGTGGTACACATCACGGCTTAAATTCAGATATGTTTGCTATTCTTTGCTTTTGGGGGTTTTATAAAGAATTTTAATTTTTATTGTATGTGGGAGCAGTGTATGCATTCGTGTGGACACACATCCACGTGTAGACATAAGGAGGCCAAAGTTGACTTCAGGCATCTTCTGTCACTATCTTATCTTTGATATCGTCTTTCAATGCACCTAGATATCAACCATACTGCTAAACTAGCTGGCCATCAAGCCCCAGGGACTTACCTTTCTCTACCAGTACGAGGGTTTGAGGCATGAACCACACAGCCAGATTTTAGGAAGACATTAAGCATCAAAACCAAGGTCCTCACACTTGTACAGCAAACACTTAATTCATCTCCCTGGTCCTATTTTTATATTTAAAATTATTTTCCTCTTAAACTAAAGAATCTGAATAAAGGCAAATAATCTCATAAAACATTATAACACATAGGACCCCATACAGAAATGCAGAATCTTCTTGTACTCTGATATTGACCAACAGACTTCGCTCTCATGGTATTTTTTTAAACCACTTTTCAAAATGGTTGTTTATTAGTCTGCAGGCTTTAATCTTGTGCAGCAAACACCAGTATGATGACAATTTATTGTTACCATAAAATAAGAATAAATATATGCATGCTTGTATTAACCAAATGAAACTCACCTAAAAATGTGTCTGCCAGAATAATAGACTGGGATGACAAGGCTGCCCGGAAGCCCTTGCTTTCAGAAGGAATAATAGTTGACTGACATACAAATGCTCCAATCAAATTAGTGTAGTCATCTGACCCTGTCACCACTTCTTTTACTGTAAAGTCTGAGATGTTGTTGGTACAGAGAGCCATCTTTCTTCCCTAGAAAGCAAAGCCACAAGTGGAAGTTTCACAGATAGTCGGTCTTTAACCAGAATCTCAGTTAGCTTGTGAGTCTTCATCAGAGGAGTTGTTTTCTCCTCATCACAGAGATCCTCATTGAATTGTGCTAGGTGATGCTCAGGCTTCCAATGTTCAGTAGAGGCTGGGAGTTGATGAGATTATTCTAGACCCATTGGTCCTCTCCCTATAAGCATCTTTTGTTTTGGATGAAAACCATATAACTCCAGGAAATAAATATCATCTAAGAAATGTTCACTTCATAGTTTAACAAGGCATTCAGGGGATACAGCAAACCGCTGATGAAGATGTAGATGAAGGAAGAAACCCAACTCTCCCTTCTCCTTCATGAGTCTGGGTATGTTTGAAGATGGCCTAAAAGCCATATTGCTATAACATCCTAGGATATCTGAATTATAGACTCTTGGTCGCTGCAGGTGTCTTAGTAACCTACTCTTGGACACAGCGGTGTATCTATTTACAAAATAATTTGAGAGACAACAAGAGGTTAACTTGTATTCAATCAGAAGCTGGCTGTGTTTATATAATGCCTAAATATACTTCAGGGCACTGCAAAAACAACAACAACAACAACAACAAAAATCTATAGTTTGCTCTACAATTTCTACCAAGAAATGTAAAAGAAATTGGAAAGCTATTTTATTGACCTGAGAGTATACACACACACACACACACACACACACACACACACACACACACAATGTAAATAGTAAATAGTTCTCTTTCCTAATGCAACTAGCAATTCTAGAATAAAATTTCTCCCCCCACAAGGTTTTCTCATCACAAAACAGGATAAATATTTTTTACTAAATTGTTGTAATCAAGAAAACAGCTGAGAGAAAGTACTCAGGAAAAAAATGAGGATATTACAGAGTCTAAAAAAGAACAAAGGAGAACAACAACAACAATAAAAATGTTGAGCCTTGTTCATACCTACAGCACTCTCATGAGTTTGAGGTTAGCCTGGATTACAAAATGAGTGCTAGGCCACCCTGAGTTACATAGTAAACTCACCCAAAAGAAATAAATAACATTATAGAGAGAGAGAGGGAGGGAGAGAGAGAGAGAAGGCATTTAAAAGGATAGAAGGAACACACAATAGTAATACAAAAATGGGATTGAGAAATACAATAGCTGATAAATACAATATATAATAGAATTAATCTCATTCACTACTTCATATAAAGTTATTTGGTATGCTTTCTTTTACTAAGTGAATGATTGCCCAACCAACCTAGTGAGTACTGAATTACTACCTATAAAGTCAGATTATGACACATGCATTGTCTTAGTTAGGGTCCTTAGACACCTTGCCCCTCCAAAAAATTGGGGAGGAATTTATTTCATCTTAAAACTTGCCCATCCTCTAGTGAAGTCAGGGCAAGACTCAAGCAGATCAGTTACCTAGAAGCAGGAGCCGAAACAGAAGCCATAGAGAGGTGCTGCTTACTGGATTGCTCCCCATGGCTTGCTCAGCCTGCTTCTTTATGCAACCAACACCACCCACTCTAGGCTGAGCTCTCCTAAATCAACCATTAATGATTGACAGACTTGCCTATTGGCCAATCTTCTTTTTCTATTATTTAAATTACAAACAAGCTTTTTTACATGTCAATCCCAGTTCCCTCTCCCTCCCCTCCTCCCCTGGCCCCCACTAACACCCTACCTACTCCATCTCCTTTCTGCTCCCCAGGGAGGGTGAGGCCTTCCATGGGGATCTTCAAGTCTGACATATCATTTGGAGCAGGGCTTAGGCCCTCCCCCATGTGTCTAAGCTGAGAGAGTGTCCCTCTATGTGGAATGGGCTCCCGAAGTCCATTCTTATAGAGGTATTTTTTTCACTTGAGAGTCCCTCTTCCTAAATGACTCAAACATTTGTCAAGTTGACAAAAGTTAGCAAGCACACTCAGAAAACGCAATTTATAAATATCTTATTTAAAGACTTCTATGGTAGCTAGATCTTTTTTCATTTAATTTTAACAAGTTTGTCACAGCACCCATAATGATTATGACTGTACATATAGCAATCAATACAAAAAGGATATGGGAGAAATGCTTTATTACACATTTGCCTCTGTTAGTGGTATGGATACTGTGCATTCTCCCCTACCCCCAACAAACTACAGTCTCACACATCAGTGAAAATATGGCATACACACTGATTAAATCCCCTGAACAGTAACAAAGTTCTACTTCTTCCATCGCAGCTAACAAACCCCACCATCAGGAGAGGCTATCTTATCAATTAACATTTGACCCTGTATGTCTCCTTTTGAATTTGGACAGAAATATTCCTGGTAGTTTTTCCCCCTTATTAAAAACATAACCAGAATTCAAGTTATAAGCCAGCAGAGTCAGATTAAGGGATACTGAGCAATGGAGAAACACAAATTTGGGGGAGTGTTGCAAGGGTCTTTCATAGGAGACCGACATGAGAGCTGGATGCCTGAGGGAGGGGATGATCTACCTTGAAAATGAGCATGTGCCATTCAACTGGCTGGACCCACATAGAACAAAAAGGCAGAGGCAAAAAATTCCTTCTTACTGAGCCTGCCCACACTCTCCTCTTGCCATAGACATTAGAACTTCAGGTTCTCTGACGTTGGGACCCCGGGACTTATAGCAACAGTTCTCAGTTTTCAGCTGCCTCTTATTCTGAAGCTTTTGGACTTGGGTTCAGCCCCACTAGTAGCATCCCAACAATGTGTCCCACTTCTAGACAGCCTAGCACAGGATTTTTCAGCCCCCACAACTTATATGCACTGTTATTCCCCACATACATCTCTCTCTCTCTCTCTCTCTCTCTCTCTCTCTCTCTCTCTCTCTCTCTCTCTGTGTGTGTGTGTGTGTGTGTTTTCTATACCTAGGGAATCCTAAAACAATGTTTTCTCAAACCACAATACCCTGCCTATATTTTAAAAAATGAGAGCAACACCCTTAACCACTTTTATCCCTTCTCACTTTCAGGAAGAGAGAAGGAGAGGGAGGGACTCAATGTATTTATGCCATACCTATAAGGCTTGGAGTTTAGCTGACTGAATATGGCTCCTTGACAATCTAATAACCAGGTGAGACTGTACTCATAAAGAAGGCTGTCAATATGATTTCAAAGAAATCTCCATACCTGGCATTAGTGGTTGATTGCCAATGAGATGTCATTGGTCATTTAACCCAGAACATATTTTAAAACTTGAGTACAGATCCATCCCACCTGGAACTCACCTCATGCCCACATAAACTGATATTGAAGAAATGGAAGTATTTGGTTCCTTTGGAGGTGAAGCTGGGGCCATTCATGAGTGAACCCACACTGCTGAGGTTGCGGAAATCGTAGTGCAAACTCCGGTTTTCCTTTTCGTAGTAGAAAAAGCAGTCACTGTAGCAAGTGGAGTGATCCTGAAAGGGAAAACACAAACAATACCTCAGGAAAGAAAGTATTAGCTGCTTTGAAAAAATGTTACCCAAAAGTTTCAGGTATAAAAACCTTTCAGTAATGTTTTTGTCTTAGTTATATTTTGTCATCCTTGTGTAGAGGATCCCTAATAATTCAAAAAGTTCAGAAGTCAAGATTCATTTTTTAATTCAATATTTTCTTGGATTAACTTCTTACAGGAAGATATTTTTAAGAGATAGTAACAATTTCCAGTTTGGCCAGTTTTCACAGGCAGTAAAACTTGTCCACTGATCTGCACTGCTTTTCCTTCACACGTATAATGCTGTATGCCATGTGTGCTGCTACCTGGCGAGCTTCTATACCTGGCTTCTGAGAACGGTTACCCTTCTATCTTGGAAGTGCACAAGATATCAGTTTTTAATTTTGAAAACATTCTTATTTGAACACTTTCTCTCATATTTTGTCACTCGTAACTAGCATTTGCATGGTATATATTCAGTGCTCACCTAATTTCAGAGAAGAGAAAACAGGCAAGAGAATTAAAAGGCATTTTTCAGAGTCAATAGCAATTCCACATACTCCCCACCTCACCCCCAGAGAACCACTCACAGAAAGTCTGTTGTGGAATATTACTTTAACTGTGTAAACATGTGTTAGTTACATTTGTTTGTGCTGTGGAATATTATTTTAACTGTGTAAAGGTGTATTACATTTGTTTGTGCTGCATTTGTTTAACAATGTAAGGATGTGTGTTTAGTAATGTAAAGATGTGTTGCACTTGTTTCACTTTGCCTGCCTAAGCCACCTAATTGATCTAATAAAAAGCTGAATGGCCAGTAGCTAGTCAGAGAAAAGATGGGTGGGGGTTGGCAGGCAGAGAGAACAAATAGGAGGAGAATCTAGACTCAGGAAGAAGAGAAGGGAAGTCAAAAGAAGAGAATGAAGGAGAAAGAGAAGGACACACCTGCAGCAGAAGCCAGGCAGCCACCAGTCAGACATGGAGACGGCAGGAAAGTAAGATACAGAGAAAGAATAAAAGGTAAAAAGTCCCGAGGCAAAACATAGATAAACAGAAACAGATTAAATAAGAGCTAAGCCAAGGCTGAGCATTCAAATCTAATCAAAAAAGTCTCTGTCATTATTTTGGAGCTGATTGGTGGCCCCAAAGAAGAAACCTGGCCCAGAAATCTTTAATTTTCCTGCCAAGAATGGCTTTGGGATATAACTGCAAAGCGTTCTTACCTGGGTGCTTTTACTTCCAGGCCCACAGGGAATGCAAGCCTCCTTGCCATAGACCTGATGGATGGACAGGTAGGTGTCTGCTGAGCATTCCTTGCACTGGTTGGTTTCTTTCTCGATGTAGTGGCCTGGGGGGCAGGGTACACAGGATGAGCCTGACTGCTCAGAACCAAGGGCACAGGCACGGCATGATGATGCCACCCCATCAACTGCATTAGTGGCTGTGATAGAATAAATCTTCACCATATCATTGATGAAACGTCTGTTCTAGAAAGAGAACAGAAAGAATGACATCTGCCTTGGAGTGCAACTGTACAACCAAGTTATGTTTATGTTGACATCCCCCAAATAAACAGAATGTTCCAAACAGCTTGTGAATGACAGTGAATTACCATCACTCCTATTCTCTCCTTCTAAATAAGGAGCCCTTAAATCTTGACATTAGAAGCCACTTTCTATGACCATGGGATTCCAGATGTGTTGCTACAATTGATACCAGGTATGTTATAACTGGCACAGGCACGGCTACAGACTGTGTGACTGTGGTGGGAAACCTTGGAAGGTGAGGACCTCTTTTCTTCATTCAAACACTGTGATGCCGATGGGCTCATATCACTTCATTGAGCCTTCCTTTCCCTCTCCAGCCCTTTCCCTAAGCAATGCATTCTAATTTCTAATAAAAGGATGTCAAAAGAGCAAACGTCAAAAGATCCTGAATCCTGCTGTGTTTTTCATCTCATGGTATAGGATTAACTAAAGTCTGGTTTTTGTCACCCTAATGTACGATGTCACACCTGACTGCTTAATGTTTTTCTTCAGGACCAAGATGAAAAGACCAAAAGAAGGAGGTAGAGTTCCATTGCTGTTCATCCTCTTATAAATGTATTCTGAACACTAAATAACAATGCCTAACGAACAACTGAAGTTGTGGGAAATCTAGGGATTGGCTCCCCACTGAAAATCTGAACAGAGAAGAGAAAAGGCACTACACACACAGCCACAGCAATGAAGATACTCTGAGAAAAGAATCACCTTGTTTTCATTTTGATAAAGTCACATCTGTGGAGATATACAACAAATAATAGGCCTGGGGCTAGGGAGAGGACTCAGTGGCAAAGAGCTTGCTGCACAAGCATCAGGACCTGAGTTTGGCTCCCTAGGAGCCACATAAAAACTGGACATGGCACTACAGTCATCTAACCCCAGTGCTGGGGCCTTGGGGTAGGACAGAGACAGATATCCTGGGGACTCTCTGGCCTGTCAGTCTAGCCAAAATAGCTGGCTCTAGGTTTCTGTGAGAGACCCTGTCTCAAAAACAAATAATGTTGAGAATAATCAGATGACTTCCAGTTCTGACATCTGATCTAAATTTGGATATACAAACAAAGGCAAATTATGATCCATACATGTATATACTACTCTCTCTCTCTCTCTCTCTCTCTCTCTCTCTCTCTCTCTCTCTCACACACACACACACACACACACACACACACACACCCTCCAAAGTAACAGGCCAGATAGTATTAAAATATGCAATGGAATGTTCATAGAGAGGGTTAGGTCAAAGAAAGGCAATTGTTGTCTCTGTTTTACCATCCTGTATACAAATTCATTCTTTATAAAAGATATTATCAGAATAACATAAACCCACACTATTTAATGACCCTTAAACACATATTAGATAGCTGGATGAAGGACAATAAAGTTATTAACCTTCTCAGTCTCAAAAATATTTAAAACTAAAGTTCTAAGTAAAAACAAAAACTATTTGCTTATAACTCATAACAAATCAGAGATTTGTTGTCATTCCAACCCATCTCATACATTTGCATTCTCAAAAATTTAAAAATGGTTCATTAATACCAATTCACAACATAACAAGAAGACTGACTTAAAGAAGTGTCTTCTCCAATTTGAGTGACAGCTTTATATTCATCACCACAAGAGGGCATCATCTTTGTGCTTTAAAAGAAATAAAAGGTATGGGACCATATTATTCTGCATTGCGGGCATAATATTGTGTGCATCTCATGGTGTACCTTTAAAATTGTCTGTTCCCTGTGTAGAATGCATAGTATCCTATGTACAGGGTATAGTGTTCTACGTGGATGTCATGTCTTCATCCTTTGACCACACATTTCCTTGAATGGAGTTCATAATGCCCTTGTATGAAGCTCATGATGCAAGTTTACCACTAACAGTGTACTTACAAAGGGCTTGTGTTGTACCTTTAAAGCATTTCTAGTCTCCTGTACACAGGTCGGACTTATTTGCCTAGAGAATGCAGCTCACCTGCACACAAGCAGAGCTCACATGGACTTATTCAGACTATACATGCCATTTCTCAGCTCCTAAGGCCACGTATGAAGCACATGATGCTCCCATACAGAATTTTTAGTGTCTCCAGTGGAGATCAATAAGCTCTGAACCGAGATCACACCCAATGGGGTGTTGGAGAGTAATAAAGTGGTTGGCACTTACATCTTGGCCTTGATTAGTTCTCTGGAATGCCCATGTAAATGTAAATGTTGCATTCTTGAAGATGATGTGGGTGTACGCTTGCTTTTCTTTGGTTCCTCCCCATGATTCTACCACATTGGTACTTTTTCTATTTATATCCTAAAATAGTAGAGAAATATTTACAAATAAAGCACAAACTCAGTATCAAGTTAAATACACACCCATTATAAATATGTACTTTCATTTGGAGAAAGCTGTGCAGGATTCATCACTGTTTCTGCCACATACTCCCTGTTCTAACCACAAAATTCCCACAAGCATACTGTCAACAAGATGGAAGACACTTGAAAAACGTTACTTAGAAGAGGGAGCTCCTCAGACTCCTCATGGAAAACATCTAGAATCCTTGATGAATAAAAAGCTTCCCATTTGTGCCTTCTTCCTTGAGGGATTCTAACAGAACCATTTGTGTAGAAACTCTAAGTTGTCCCCTGATTATACTGGCCATAGGTTCATCTGAGTGAATGCTGACCAGAGTGTCATCCCATGTTCATGAAATACTCTTGGGATAGCATCTGAGTTTCATGAAGGTCCATTTATAAACTATTTTACTTCTGATTTTCTTAGATAAATTTAAGAAAATAACATGAAGGTTTAAGCTATCTCCACCAACGTGCCACTATTAACATGACTTGAAAGCAAATACAATGACTAACACAATGCTATAACTTATTTATAAGATGAAAATAGAGGTAAGTCTGAAGTTGTGAGCTTTCCTATAGAATTCTTGACAAATAACTTGTTTCTACTAGTTATTTGGGATGTTGGAGTTAGGTTGGCATGGCTTCAAAATTTGTCTCTTTGTATAATATGAATATAAGGATCAAAGTATTATTAAGCAATCAAATATGCCAGCAGGAGACACATCATGGGTTCACATCACAGATAACAGCATGAAAAAATGATTTCCAAGCATCACAGACATCTTATTACCAAATAGCCAAATTATCATACTTACTGTTCATAAAAAGGGTTTCATAACATACAGATGGTGTTTCATTAAAGGTTGTGAGTTGTAAGAAGTAAAAATTATTACCTTACTTGTAAAGTGTTAATTGATATCATATTATTTATGATTTAATTTGATAATTCAAAACTCCTATGACCTATCATCTGAAGACCAAAGGAAAGCTATCAAACTCTTCTATAAGCTACATCTCTGCATTGATCTGTAACATGTAAGTTTGGTGTGGCATTACCCTCAGAAGGATGGAAGATCTGATCCCAAGCTGAAATAATGAGAACCCATGCTATGCAGAATGTACACTTGGTGATTTTATTGTACAATTCTTAGTCATTTCTTCAGGAAGTTAACAATATTTTTGGAAGTTCTAAGAAATTCAAGAAAAAATGGTTCTTATCCCAACTTATACAAATGAATTCAAACTTTAAAGAGAAGAATAAACATTGAAATCTGCCTTCAATCACTCACCACCATGAAGTATAGAACACAGTCAGCTGAGCAGAGGGTCTCAAAGACAAATGTTATTCTTCCTAGCTCAGAACCCGTGGCTCCAGTCATAGATGTTGGTGGTCTACATGACAGATCAAAATTCCAATATCAACAATGTACTCTGAATACAGTTTGAAAACAAAAATGGAATCATGTGTTCTCATTCAACTGAAAGTCCAGCTCCTCTGTTAACTAATCTACTGCTTCTTGATGAAGCACTGATCCTTCCTTTCTCAATCTGTGTTCACACCCTTGCTCTAGGCTAGGATGATGTACTTGACTCTCCTGTTTCTAAAGGAAGGAAGAGACTCACACTGGGAAATCTTAACATACATGACTAAAGCAAAGACATAAATAAATGTGTAACATGCTAACTTACAGAAAGAATTGAGAAAAACAATAAACAATTAAGCAACAAAATACACTCCTGTAAATAAGTGATGTATGCTAAATCTTCTCCATTAAGGATCAACAAATCATGGTTATTACAGGTTTAGTTGTAATGCTGTGAAAATATTTCCACTTTATCTAAGGAACATACATGAGTAACATTAATGTGTTTCAGTGAGGAGTTCTATAGATTCCTAAATATCATGTATCTGACATACTATTGTTTACTTGAGAACAAAAACACACTTCACAGAGTTATCCAACTCCCCTATTTCTACAGAGGAAGTGAAGATTCCTGTAGAAAGGGCCAGTTCCCCTTACTTAAATCCTGGGATGTGCAAGGTTAAGATGAGGTAGTCATTGTCAGAGCCTCCAGCCCCACTCTGGATGTGATCTCCAGCTACCTCCCAACCTGAAAATGAAAAACAGACATTTTATTAGTAAAATTTCATTAATAACAAAAATGTTAAAATAAGGCAAGCATAAAAAGGCAAATACATATTTCTGGTCAAAGCTAGAAATATTCCAAAAAATCCCATATTTTCAAGTAACAACTGTAGACTGAATGCAAAAGTTCACTTCTAGCTACCCATAAAGACATTTGACTGTACCACTTTGTATACAATGTGAGACAAGGTGATGGTTTTTCCAATGAAGCGTGACTTTCCAAACTGAAAGAGGTGGTCTTTATCCATTCTAACACACTAAGATAGACATTTATGGGAATAGACGCATTTCCACTCTGCTGACAGCTGATGGAAAATGGAAACTTCAATTTACTAAAGATTTAGGGTCAGAAGTCCTTTTCGGTTTACTGTATTTTTGTTTTACAATTTAACTTTTACTAAATGTCACTAAGTATGCCATACATGGGATAGTAGATAGACCTCCCTCCCTGAGGCATAGGAAATATAAGGAATGCACATGCTAATGAAGGCTAACACTGTGAGGTGATAGGTCAGTGTACAAGAAGTACAGGAGGCATGTCCTCTTCACAGGAACTGTAACATACCATAAGCCAAGACTGCCACTTAAAATGAGTAAAGGTGATAAACCCACATAGAGCATCAAGCAAGTGTATTATCTAAGGGCAATACTTTAGCATTGATACTTCTCCAAATGTTATCTACTACTTTAAGAGAAGTAATATAGGCAGTCATACAAGTATGAGCTTGGCAACTTGGCAATTTGTAAATAAAATACCTTATGGAAAATTAATATGATGAACACACACTAATAAAACATAATAAAATAATACAGACTCATCTATTAGAGAAATGTTGGTAATTCACTGCCTAAAGATTCCAATTATTAAAAACAAAGAAAATCAGCTATCAACTTTTAATTCTAAGAGTTGAGTAAACATGAAACCCTGTGGCCCAGTGAGACAAGAATGTGGGTAATAGGAGAATTGAGGTTTAGACAATAACCCTGTGAAAATAGTAAGGAGAACCAAGATACCCCATGCAGAACAAGCAAATACCTAGAAAGAAAAGACTGTGGTTTTATTTCTAAGAACCACCCTTAGAGCCTATGAATACTATGATGAAGTACAGAATGTTATCGAAGGCCAAGTGGATTATGTACAGAAGTTACTATGATTCAAATAGAAACAAATGCCTTACATGTTTCAATATTGCCCAATGCAGAGTCCACCAACTTTCCTCATTCTTATCATAAACTTTAATTTTTATAGTCATATCACAAACATTTCTCCATTACAAATAATTTTACATCAATTTTATCTAAGTATATCCCCATTGTTAAGATTTGTTTTCATTCTTATAGGAAACATTAAAATTAATATTTTTGCATACAACTTCCTTCCTCATATCACATTGTCTCATTGGTAAAGATCCCCAGAAATAGCATTACTGAGTCAGAAGAAAACAAAAATTAAAGATTCTAGAAATGTATTTTCAAATTTCTTTCAATATGTTGTCTCAGTATAATGACTACATACATACTATTTTATTCTATTGAGCTAACTTATGTTGGTAAACATTATACTACTGCAGGAAAGCTAGATTATTTTCACTTGTGTTTTTATACATGAAGGCCAACAAATCTATTCATGAACAACCAACTTGTTGCCAACTTTTAATTTCTCACAGGCAAAAATCCAATATATAAAAATTTGCTCTTCATCCCTAAGATGCAACTTTATCAAATTCAGACTTCAGGAATATGGAAACCCTCCACCCACACTCATTCTAAACACATGCTTTAACTATCCAGGCAGGAGGTGCTCCTTCCTTAGGTAAGCTGCCCCATGAAATTCTACTTGGCCCTGTTGTGTACTGTTTATTACAAGAATGGGATAGAGACTCCATATCACAAAGACACACACTACTTTTACCTTTGTACTTTTATTTTCTTTACTCTAAAGTAATTTTAAAATACAGTTTGAGAGTAAATCAAGTATTGGTGTGAGAGTTGGTGTCTTCTACAGAAGTCGCTGGTAATCTGTTCTAGTGTGTGAGCATACATGTAGCAGTCCTTCTGTGGATTCATTCAAAACGCTTGCTTTCCCAATCTTGTTTTCCTAATTGATCTAAAATTCCTGACTCAAATTCAATCACAGGACACATCTTAGGACTGTCAACTTGCATAGTGTTTCCTCATCTCTCAGGGGATAAATTCCAAAAGGTGGTCAACTTTGCATTTAATATACATCAGGTCTTTCACTAATGCATTGGCTCAATATTACTTAAGTCTCTATTTTTTCTGTTCATCTCTATACTCATGTGGACATTTCATTTCCTATGTCCCATGTCTGTTTGGGGGAGCTATTGATTCAAACTATGCAATTTAAAACAGTGTGTGTAAACCTAGGTACAATGATCAAATATAACATGGAGAAAGTAAGCAGATAGAATGATGGTGAGGAGATAAAATTGAAGGATGGATTCCATTGTTAAATCTCCTTGTTTGGGATACCAGCTGCTATTGTCTGATTTTAAAATGAATACCATTGATGAGTACCATTGAAAGAACTCTGCCACGTTTGCAAGTTTTTGGTAAACAGGCTCAACTGCATCTTAGAGACACAGTCATGTGCTTCACAGGAAATGGGAATTTGAATTCTTTAACCCTGTACCATGGCACAGCACTGAGCCAAACTAAAGTAACCTAGTAATGCTGTGGAATACTTCTTTACACATTGTGAATATATGACACTGTGATTGGTTTAATAAAGAAGCCAATTGGACAATAGCTGAACAGAATGAGATGAGGCAAGAGAGTCAGACTAAGAGAATGATGGGAGGAAGATGGGCAGAGAGAGAATTTGCCAGCCAGACACAGATGGAGCAGGAGATGAACACACCGTGCTAATAAAAGTACTGGTACATGGCAGAGCATAAATAAGGAAAATTGGCTGATTTAAGTTGTAAGAGCTAGTTAATAATAAGCCTGAACTATCGGTCCAGCATTTGTAAATAATATAAGACTCAGTGCATTTATTTGGGAGCCAGTGGTCCCAAAGAAAGCTCTGCCTACATACTATTGCTTAAAGTGGTAAAATAAAAAAAGTGATATAAATGTTGTTACCTTCCTTGCCACATATCTATCTGTATTTGTGACTTTAAATGTGAGCTTCAATATCTACTTCAAAAGTGAATACATAAAATGCAAGATTAATACAGCATCCTGTCTACCCTCCAACCCCCCATGCACACATCTGTCTATCCTTGGTAGATAAGCAGAGACCCTACAACAGACACACCAAGCCCTACTATTTAATACCTTTCTATCTCAGCACTTACCACATGCTACCATTAAATTCTTGCCATTTGAGGTGGGGGATTAATGCTGCCATGGATATTATATTTCCTTCTTCATAGTTTAATGGCTTAAAGCTTTTTCTTACCATAGATTTCTTTAGCAAATTCAGCAAATAATTTATGGTCTTTCTTTACTAAGTTGAGAACCTTTGCATTTTCAAATGGAAGGGTGGGAGGGTGGGTGGAAAGGACAGAGGGAGGAGGAAGTGAGGAAGGGAGAGAGAGGGAGCTCAGAGAGTGATCAGATGAGGGTGGGCTTGATGGATTTTGTTTGGCACGTTACTTGTGGTTTGTGATTATTTTTATTATCAGGAGTTATTTGAACACATATATTGTGAAGTCTGAGCTCTGTGTCTAAGCACCAAGATGCTACTAAGTCACTACAAGAAGAAGATATAACCGGACAAAAAGATAATGCACATCCTAGGCTGGAAAGAAAAAAAAAACTTTGAAGAGTTTGCCATTTAAGACTTGGTTTCTGGAATTTATACCTGGTATTTACATACTGCTATTGACTATACAGAGCTGAAAGAAAGAAAGAAGGAAAGAAAGAAAGAAAGAAAGAAAGAAAGAAAGAAAGAAAGAAAGAGAGAGAGGAGGAGGGAGGAAGAAAGAAAGAAAGAAAGAAAGAAAAAGAAAGGGAGAAGCACTGTAGGTTTTATTGCTGCTACCTGGCTGATTGCTTGGTTTTTATGTAAGGGCTGGGATGGACACACAGCCAAATAAGACAAAGTTCCTCACAAAGGTGTCTGGCATATTTAAAAAGCCAAGTCTGAAAATAAATTGTGTTTGGATTTTTTGTTTGTTTGTTTGGTTGGTTGGTTGGTTTTTGTTTTTTGTTTTTGGCTGCCACAACAGTTACGGTTGAGTCCAAACCTACCATTCATTCCATCACACTTGGAATTCCCAACATTGAAGCAGGAAGTTTTCATGTTGGCAGGGAGGACATTCCACCATTTATACTCAAACCCCAGCGCTGGCTCTGTTCCTGCTGGACATGGCTTACATTCTGCAGAAGACACATGAGTGAACAAGCACATTAGGCAGCATCTGGTCAGCTTTCCCTGTGCCAAGTGCCTCTAAACCACAACCAGGAGAGAAATGTGAGGGAAGGGTGCCACAGCACCAGTTCCCTTGGAACTTCTTCAGATGTCAGCTGGAAAATGTTTCTAGATAGAGCACAAAGCATGTGTATGCATTTGGTGGTTTTATTTGTATACTGCTTCGTTTTATGTACACACACACACACACACACACACACATACACACACACACATACACACTGATTATCCTTATTATCATCAGTTCGCTGATAAGATAGAGTCATTTTTCAAAGGATAATTCAATATACTATTTTAAAGGAGATGGTCTCACATACACAAAACACCAGTAAGACAGTTCTCATTAGACAGTAAATAAATCATGCTCTTACAATACCATTATCATCAATATTTCTCAACTCTTCTTCCTTCCAATGAAATAAGAAATGTGTCATCTAAAGACTTCCCCAGAAAATCAATTGAAACAAGATCACAAGTCTATTAATACTATTTCTTTAAAGTGCAGTTCATGATAGACACTCTACCCTTTGTTCCATCTGAAAATGTCCCAGGAGGGCAGGGATGGCAAGCAGAAGAGCCATTATTATAGAAGCCTGGGTTGCAAGGGGGACAATCCTTCTTCTCTCCAGAAGGGGGCAGCCTGATAGCGTCTGTCAGATCCTCCCTGCAGATTTTCGGCTCGATCCACTTGTACATTATCTGTGTCTGGGAAAAAAACAAAAAGAGAGAGAGAGTGAGCAAATCATACAACATCCTTACAACAAAAATGCTAAATTGACAATCTAAAAAATAACAAACAGTGGGAGAACAGAAGAGGGTGTTGAGATAATCTAAAACAGTAACAAAATGAGAGAAAAAGGAAACTTTCACTAACACAGCAAAGAGATAGTAAAAACTTGGTAGGAAAATAATCATTACTTTAGTGTGGTGTGTGTGTGTGTGTACATACATGTGAACATATTGAGGTCTTAGGTCAACATCTGATGTCTTTCTTAATTACTGTCCTCCTTTAGCTGTGTGCACACACACCCACATGCCACCACACACATGTGGAGGTCAGAATAGAACCTGTGGGAGTTGGCTTTTTCCTTCCACCTTGTGGGTCTGGAGGATTGAACTCAAGTCAGCAAGCTTAGTGATAAGTGCTTTTACCCAGTGAGCCACCTCTCTAGTCCCCCCATGTTATTTTTTGAGACAGAGCCTCCCACTGAACCGGAAGCTTGTAGATTCAGCTAGACTGGCTGTCCATCCATCCCCAGGTTCCCTCCTGTCCCTCCCCACCCCACCCCCAGTTCTAAGACAACCAAGCTTGGGTTCTCATGCTTGTATAGCAAGCACTCCACCTAGTGAGCCATCTCCCTAGTCCCTGGAAATGACCATCACATTGCAAAAGTTTTTAACCTGAGTCACAAGTACCCTTACGATACAGACCACATGCTCCTTATCATGAACCCTCTTGCAAATGTAAACAACTGCTAAATTGTCACCCCTGAATACATTCACAAAAGTAACATTATACAGACTGAGCATGTCATACCTAGAAGATATATATACATATATGTGTGTGTGTGTGTGTGTGTGTGTGTGTGTGTGTATGTGTACATATACATGTAACAATAAGTAATGAAAGAAGAGGCCATGAATATGAAAGAGAGCAAGGAAGGGTATTTGGGAGAATTTGGAGAGAAGAAAGGGAAGAGAGAAATGGTGAATTATTTTATAATCTCAAAAACAAAAGGCAAAATGTAAACAACTGCTGCCCTTGTATCCATTTACTTCATTGTGTAGCCAGCAGCTTTCATAGAGGAACTTTTTCTTGCTTATTTGCATTTTTGATTGTGAGTCCAGCCTTTGAGGGCTGAACCATCTCTCCAGCCCTTCTTGCTTTTTTGCAAACTTCATTACTCCTTTCTTTTCTCCAGCCACAAACTCTACTACCATACTCCACACATAGTAATCATCAAAGAAATACATCATTTTTCAAAAAGAATAAACCAAACTTCATGTGCAGTCATACTAATTCATAAATATCAGTAGTTCTTGAGGTTTTTCTAGTAACAAGCACTGTAGCTAAACTATTCTCTCCAGAAGTTTCTAGGCCTTTTCCATGTGCTCCAAGCTTCAGGACAAAGGCACCCACTGTTATCCTCCTGCACACAAAACAATACAAAGAATAGTGGCAACAGCTATGCCCATGCTTAGTTATTCTCACTTTGAAACCAGAACCAAATGGGTTAGCTGTTCTAAAGCAAAATTGGAATGCGAACATTGAAGGATAGGAGGAGGTATTCTAGCACAAATAGAACAGTAAATCGATACCATAACTAAATACAAGTTTTTAAGAAGAGACAATAACTGTTCCTTTCATCAACAAACTTTTGATTGTTTTGTTTATCCTCTAAAACAATTTCTGCAGTATTTATTAAAACTAGGAAATGGAAACCACAGGTAGTACTCCAGGACTGTTTCTAGTAAGAACCATGCACAATGAGCCTTAAGGCCACTCAAGGTAACTCCTCAAATATGCTCATGCAAGATGCGGTATCTTGTATGAAGATGGATGCTAAGAAAAATGCTTTAAATATAGATGTCTCAACAGCATGATAAATCGTGTGTTTTCTTTCTAACAGCTCCTCTTCCCACATTCATTTTATGGCTCCTGTCATGATATGCTTTAATGCACCACTTTATCCCTCTTCCACTGTTACCATCTGTAAAACAGTGGCTGCTCCAGCTAAGTCTTCCTAAGCAGCTAAAAAAAAAAAAATTCAATTAGATACTATATCCATACAAGGCTCTCAACTCCCTTCAAGAAAGGTAGCATAAATTCACAGAATCTAAACAAAGAATCATTATAGTAGAGACACTGATTTTCCATTTCCAGTTTAATAAGTATAAAATGCAAATTTTAAAATCCTAGTAAATTTATTAATTCCCTGACTCATTAATAAAATGCATGACTGGTACATTTAGGGGAAATATTGGTTCCTATACAAGAACAGAGAAGATGTGGTGCAGCATGGAAGAATCTTCCCAACCTTTTCAGAACAAGTGTTTATCATCCCCAAGTTTGTGAATGAGAAAATACTCCAAATTAGAGGTATATGGTGTGTGTGTGTATGTGTGTGTGTGTGTGTGTGTAGGTGTATGTGTATGTGTGAGTGTGTGTGTGTGTGTGTGTGTGTGTGTGTGTGTGTAAGCCAGATGACAACCTTGGGCATCATTCTTCTGACTCTATCTACATTTTTTTAGACAAGATCTGTCTCACTAACCTGGATCTCAACAATTAAGCAAGGCTGCTAGCTGGCCGAGTCCTGGGAATCTGTCTCTATGTCCCCACATAGGCCACCATTCTATGTGGAGAGATACCTTGCCCAGACTAGACACACAGGCATGTGGGGTAGAGAGGTGCCTTGGTCCTGCCTCAATGAGATGATGGGACAGACTTAGTAGACTTCCTGGGGAGACCTTACCCTCTCCGAGGGGGCATGAGGGGAGCGAGAGGAGAGGATTGGAATGTAAAAACATAAAAAATAAAAAACACAGGACACTAGGCCAGGATTCTCACATGGATTTTGGGGATTGAATTCATGTTGTGTACTTTTTAAGGAAAGTACTTCACTAACTAAGCTATCTCCTCAGCCCCAATTAGAACTATTAACTTATCCAAGAGATGCACACAGCACCATCAAGAAAGGGTTAGCCTGATGTGAATAAAAATAATAAAACATGCAAGTAGATTTTAGAAGCCAAATAGCCAGTTGCTTCTAAGGTAACCAAAGAAGATTTTTAGAAACTTAGAAAAGAATGTTTTATCCTTAAACATTTTAACATGGAGAAATTGAGTTACAAATCCTCCATGATACCATTTTTCATTACAGACCTTCCTGCCACACATGACAAAGTGTTTCTCTGTCTTTCTAACAGAAACATATGCTTCCCAGTGTAGCTGATGGGAAAGATACTAATTAATATTGATGATGCTTAGAACCAGATGGCTCATAGTGCAGGTGAGACACCAACAAGCAACTCACTCTTTGGAAGTGAGATGCAAACATGAAATCATAAAAGCAAAACCCTCTCCACAGAGAAGTTTACCAGAAAGAGTTACAATGTCCTTATGGATCTATATTAAGCATCAATAGTGGATCTCTGGGAATTGAAGGTCAGATTGGTCTACACAGAGTACTAGGTCAGCCAAAGCTACATAGTGAGATTTTGTCAGAAAAGAAAGAAGAATGAAAGGAAAAATTAAAAATGGACTGAATTTATAAAGCATGGGTACATTATTTTCTTCTATATTAAGAGCAAGTTTCAGAGATTCCCTGACTTATATGAAACACACAGTTCAGTATATATGTACAGCATGTTTACAAGTGGTGTGTGTGTGTGTGTGTGTGTGTGTGTGTGTGTGTGTGTGTGGAGAGAGAGGGGGGGAGAGAGGGAGAGAGAGAGACAGAGGTTATAATAGAGTACACAGTAATATAATATGATTTTAATATATTTTCATGTGGTCAGATAAGGTGAATCATTAATAGACCTCATTGTTTACACTGAAGTAATACTGAATTAATCATCATTACATAGAATAAACTAAATTCACTTTAACTAGTAAGCAAGGCAAGTTTAGCTAAGGAGAGTTTACTTTAATGTATTATACCCAAAACATTTCATTCCATTTTAGTGGCCTTCTAAATATAAGTAGCCTCATATAGCATTATTGTAGGGCCATGGTCAAGCTTACTCTACAACCTCTCATAATTTAATGCTGTTAATTTAAATTAGCATTGTTATTAAAAATAAGGATTGTATTTCTTATTAAAAATTTCCATTAAACACTTTAATGTATGTATCTACATCACTCAAAGCAATATTCCTTTAAAGTATTTAAAGGCATAAAGGAAGTTTCATATTCACATAAATATGAAAAGTACCAATCAGCATGCATAGATGCAAAATTAGGAAAGGAAAATAATATTTGCTGATAATCTCTAAAAACTAAATGCCCTATTTCAGGATGCAATCATATCTGAAGGACACTCCACAGGAGCCACATTGCCCTCACTTTCTTGTGGCACGGACAGGTCCTGACCAATTTTTTAATTTAAAGAATGACAGGTCAACTGCAAAGTTCATCTGTACATTTTCCTCCAGCTAATGTTGCTCGTACGGTAATGACTTTGGGGTTTGTAAATTCGATTACACAGTAATCTGGCCTAATTGAATTAGCATATGGCTTCATAACTCCTCTGATAAGTATTCTGAGTTCCTCACAGTGCAACAGTATTTTTATCCCCCTGAGTGGTAACACATATTTCAAGATGTTCTCTTCTTGATCTTGTGACCTCTGAAAGAATATAGTCTTTTACAAAATATAGCAATAATGTGTGAAGCACTCACCACATGGTAGGCCCTGGGCTGGAAACCTTACTTTGAGTATCTTGTATTTTCCCATAGGAGCTTTATGAAGTTAGGTAGCAATATCAATGTTCCTTTAAAGACTGAAAAAATGGAGGCTTAAGAGCAACAAATGTTGGAAGGTCAAAGCAAAGGCAGGTTGCAACACCAAAACTCTTAGATTTCTGCTGTACTTTCTTCACACGCAGCTAACAACCCAGAGTGCTCTCACACTGGGAAAATTTTTGATAAACATAGGATGAGTTAAACACTGCTGATACCTTCCCTTCTTCATCACATGGGGTATGGATCTGGAAATAGTCTTTGGTAGTGCAGGGTGGGCGATCCACACACTCACTGGCTCCTTCCTCTGCAATACATACACACAGAGAGAAAGCATTTCAGAAATGAGCCAATTTCTTTGGGACCTTAAGAAAAAATGAACATCAAAACACAAAAGCAAGCTAGCATTTCAAAGAAATCACTGTACTAGTGTAGTTTAGGTAGAACTAGTCAAGCTGTAGATAAATAAAGGTTTAGTATTTTTATTGTTTGTTTGGTTGGTTTGGTTTTTCCAGACAGGGTTTCTCTGTGTAACCCTAGCTGTCCTGGGACTCACTTTGTAGACCAGGCTAGCCTCAAACTCGGAGATTCACCTGCCACTGCCTCCAAAATGTGTACACCACTATCACATGGCTAAATGTTTGCATTTTTATTTTCCCTAAAGGGAGGATAAATATTTCTACGATACAGCTGCATCATAGCAGCTGTTTCCAGAAGATATTAGATATCTTGTGTATTATCATTGGACACTAGAAATCTGGAACAAATTAAAAATGTCTAAGTACATCTATACCATCTCTATGGTAACAAGCCACATGAAAGCAGACAGTTGGCTAGATTGATGCAAACACATCTGTACCAGTTGTCTATGGAGTGTGAAATAAAGGAAAATCACAGACAAAGGAAGAAAGTCATGCAGAGGGCACTGGGATGTCATATTGTCTCCATCCAATATGAATTCATTTGGCCTCATTGGCAGGTGGCCCACCATTGCTACCACACTTATTCTGCCCTGTGAAGTACATTTGACCAACATTAACATGGAAAGAGAAGAATAAAAATTGTCAATTAGCCTTGCCTGAAAACTGGGAGTCCTCCTTACACCTTATGCATTCTTTGGCACCCTTCTCAGAGTAGGTGTTTCTGGGGCACATCTGACAGTTAAATGAGCCTGGTTTGTTGCTGAAAGTGCCTGGCTTGCATGGGAAGCACTCAGAGGTATAAGCCACCCCTGTGTAGGAAGGAAAAATAGTGCTTAGGAGACAGAACCCAGTACAACAAACACATTAGCACCTACTGGCTGCTTCTGCACAGAAGAGAGAGATACTAAGAGTAATACAAGCCTAAATTATTTACTTGCAACAAAGAAAGATACAGTGTCAAGCAAGCAGGAAAGACCCTAGAAATGGCTGTATATTCGTTTGTACTTCCAGCTTTGTCCAGCAGATGTCCCAGTGACTAATGATGTAGCATCCCAGGAGTGGGCACATAGGAAGCAGGGAAACATCCCAACTTTAATAAAGAAGTGCTGCTTTAACTAGATACTATCTACTTGAGTGTGAGCCATGACTGTGCTTATTGGTGGCTCAGATGGGCACAAGAGGTTAAGGAAACAGCCAGACTCAGTATTTTCATGGATATAACAATGATCAGATTATCTGGCCCAATGTACACATCTCTAATGAGTAATAGGCTCTTGTAAACAAATGCACTTTCTTTTTATTTTTAAAAAGTACCGAAGATTGTCATTGTGTTTACTGATTTACACTGATTGAATAATCCAGTTTGGGGATGGAAGGAAAAAGAAAAAAAAAAACTAATGAATCAATTTGATAGATGTAGAACTAAGGTTTTTAGACTTGCATGAGGTCTAACATTAATGTGTGTCTTTATTATAAACCCTGAGTCACTTAAACCAACACTCTAATAATTTTTTAACAAGAAAATTAGACTAGTGACTACTGAGGCTCATAGCTATGAAATACCTTCAATGGTGATATTTTTTACTAGCACGGGCTTGACTGCCTTAGAACCCATAAGGATGCCTGTCGTCCTCCAGTACAGAATATTTGTGCCTGACTTCAGCATTACCTACAGAGAGAATCACAAGACACTCGGGTCAGATCAGCTAATTCTAAACACAGCCAAACCTACCCTCTTATACCCTCTTTCAATTCTTTATATAATCACCATTAAAATAGAATGAACAAACTTAAATATACTTAATTCCAGCATAAACTATAATGAAGTTGATTAAAATAGAACAGTCTGAGAATCCACAAATATACTAAGGAAGAAACTAAGACTACACAAAAGAGAAAGTTGTTTTTAAACTTCACATTTGTGGGTTCTATCATACAGGATAAATGAATCTGGGTCCAAGCATATTCTTTGACAATAATGTTATTCCCAAGGTAGATCTCTGAGCTATAAAAAGAAGAAAGGAAGCATAATGTTTGTTTCTGCTCTGGCCTGGATATGAGATGGGTGCTCCCTAGAGATCCATATGTAGGAAGCCTGGTCCCCAGGTGTGGCAGTAGTGAACTTTTGGGAGGTGAGATTGATGGGATGCGATTAGATCAGTGAGAATATTTCTTTAGGGAGAGGCTAGTATTGGTCTCCTGAAGTTAGTTCCCACAGGAACAACTGGACTGTAACAAATGAGCAAGCTGGTTCTCCACTGGGTCTTAGCAGCCTCCACCTACCTGACTTCCAGTTTCACCACTGAACACCCTTGAACACATTCTGGCCATCTGATGTGATCCTTCCCAGAACTGGGAAGATGTAGGTACTGTGACCTTAAACCTCCAAAATGGAATTAAATAAGCCTTCTAAATTTAAAAAGTATCCAACCTTGGGTATGTTATTCAATTACAGAAAATGGGTTACATAGCTTTGTAGCTTTTTAAAGCTATTTTAAGAGCCACGGTGCAATAGGAAAAAGAAAATGCACCATTCTACAGGTAGCTTGATCTAACTCTAACTTGAGAAATTTAATGACACTAACATTTGCTTACTTTGCCACTGGGACATTTTCTACTTTTAAATCAAACTAATTTTCTAATCAATTTCTTGCTGTTGCAGGTAACTGATCCAAAGTTAGGAGGTCTTTGCTTTCTCATTCTATACCTTTATTTTTCTGTGCACCCCAGAAAATGAAGTTTAAGCTATGCAAGATTAAAATCTGCCCTCTTATGTCATCCTGGTAGAGATGGGAAGCACTAAAGCACTATTTTTTCCATTCCACTTCTCTTGAATTAAGTCAACAGTGACGTCATGCCTCACTCCAAACGGACAGGGTCACAAATAATAAGAGAAGTACCAAAGCATGCCACCTGAGCATCTCAGATTCAAACATTTAAAGAAATGTGCTGGGCATAAGTAAGCTTTACACTGTATGATCAGAAAGGGCAGAATTTTGACCAACAGGTAGCAAATACATAGAAAGCTGGATGGCATTCTAAAAGTGGGAAGTTTTGTGACGATCAGGTCTAGGCAAGCATAGAGATGGCAAAGGGCCCCAAAAGCACACCTGAAAACTCACTTCCTAAAAACACCACAGAGAACATGGAATGACCAATGACCAGACACTGGTCTATCACACGTAGTAGACACATTTGTAAACTTGCATACTCAACTTAGTAACATTTTCATAACATTCTAAGTTGTTGAGTCCCAATTTACAGGAGAGAAAGCTGAGATGAAAAGGGAATGGCAAAGCATTCTAAGGAGAAATGAAAACAAAAATAATCTAAAATTTTAAATGTGTGTGTGTCAAACATAAAGTCAATTTCTTTGCTAAACGGACTTATGCAAAGGAGCAGACCATGTCCTTTTTTTTATTTTCTTAGCATGAATACTTAGAAATAGTTGGCAAATGGAAGGAAAAGAATGGATTTGGTACCAACAAAGACACAAAAAGAGACTTACAGAATGGGAGCCCCATTCTCCACTGTCTGTGAGTTTCACCCACTTGTCTGTGCTGGCATCCATCTCCTGGCACTGGTCATTCTGAATCTGTGGGTTAAACACAGGGGCTTGGTCATGCTTGGGGAATAATAGCTTTCATTCAATTCTGTTAACAGCACATGCTGCAAGAACATCCTTCAATCCATTTAAACTACAAATGAAGTAATCTCCAACAAGCAAACACACCAAAACCACTGGAAGCTATGGTACAATTGCATGTGAGGGAGTGATTCAGACTAAACCATCTCATTGTTGTAGCCAAAATGCCAGGCTATAAGGAGAGTGAAAATAATTACCACTGGAAAGTCATTATTCTACCCAGCTTACCCAAATGTCTTAACTATTCACGATGCAAGTTCAAGTTTAATAGCAACATCAATTTTATTAAATTTAATTGTTTTCTCTTTTTGAAAACTTCATATATGAGTATACTGTATTAAAATCATTTCCAGCCCTCTTTCTTCCCTCCCACATACCCACACACACACTCTGGGAATCCTGACCTCTCTTATGTTTCTCATACATATATAAACACTTATGGAGTCAATAATTCTACTTATATGAACACAATTAAGGATGAATACTTGGAATTGGTCAATCTATTAGGGGGCTATACCCTGAAGAAAACTGATTCCCCCTCACTCAGTAGCCACTGATTACATGAAGATTTCCATCTAGGGGTGGAGCTTGTGGATGTGCCCCTTTCCTCATTGGCATGTGTGGTCATTATTCAGGTCTTATGTAGGCAACCATACTGCTAGGATTCTATTAGTGCAGCTTCTCTGTTACATCTAGTTGTCACTATCTCATAGCAGGTGTCCTGAAATTTGGGCTTTTAAAATCTTTCTGTCCCCTCTTCTATAATGCTCCCTGAGCCTCAGGAGTGGGAGTTGCATTATTAATGTATCACAGCCACTCATTCTCTGCATTTTCACCAGTTATGGATCTCTGATGTAGCCGCCATCTGATACAAAAAGAAACTTCTTTGATAAGGAGAGCTACATTCATCTTCAAATTTCATTGACAGCAGTACAAATTTAAATTAGCAAATAGTGCACCTTGGTGGTCAGTTTCCCAGGATGTAATCTAAATTTATGGCTAAGTGGTTATGGACAAATTCTAGCCCCTAACCTTTGTAATGGAGCAAATATTAATCATCTACCATTAAAATTAAGATGGTTCCTGATAATATTTTTCACATTAAACATCTTGAACACTGTGGGCAATCCTTCAAAAGTGCACAGAAGTTATGATACTGCTTTTTCAGGTCTACAAAAAGTAGAGAGATACCCAAAAGCTAGGCCATCATTCTAGTACAGCAATATAGCCAGCAGCAGCGTAGAGGCAGATCTCATCACAAGTACTCATCACCCATCAAAAACTGTCTCTCTTCTTTAAACTATTCTTACTGCCTTACTTATTTTCCTATCTCTCACAAAGCTTAAAGTGTTTTTACTATGAGAACTTTCTAAAGACTTAGCTAGAAAATAATTGCATTTGCAATCTTAATATCAAAAGAATATCCAACTAATATTTTTTTCAATTGAATTTGTGTCCTATTTCTCCTCTGACCATTACTATAACTGTGGCATCAGTGTTAAGCCATTTCATAGACACTACAGGATCTGAATATACTTGTGATGAACAACTAGTAGGCAAGCCAATGGCTTTTTTTTACACATTAAAGCAGACATCACATGATTGTAACATTCCCCGACATTCTGAAGAAGTGAATTCCATTACTGATTTTGAAACTAGTTAAGGTGTAATCATGGGCCAATAACTTGTCTAGGCTTCAGCTTCATCATTTTTAAAAGAAATGCTGAATGAAAGTCTCACTCGGTGCTCAAATTCAATGCTCCAATATTTCAAATTAAGCACTGTTTATATGTATGTTTCACTGCAACCACCTACATCATTATCTTCAAACATTTCCTTTAAATCACCAACTAATAATAACTGAGGAGTGTTGACCTGCTATGTCAATAAATCACAATCTATAAGCATGAAACACCAGTAAGCGGATCAGCATGAGCCTGTCATCCCTTTAGACTCTAAACCAGACGAACACAGGCATTTCTGTCGGGAAGTAACGAAATGTTACCCCTTAAAAGCACCTTTATTGATGGCCCTCCAGGGACTTGTTGGGACACACAGAGAAGCTGCCTATTCAGGACAAGTAGGTCCTTGTCTCCCTTCCTTATTTTATTTCCTGCAATACTGTTGAAATGTCCCAAGATTCTCACAAGCCTTTTTGCAAACAAGGCATACTTTTAAAAAAGTAAATCTCTCTAAATGTTGCTTAATGTCCTAAAACATGGAAGTATTTCCATACTGGAAGCTCCTCAAAACACATCATCAAAGAATCCCACTTCACAGAGAGAGTAGGGAGAGCTGCAAAGTCAGACTGACTGCCCAAGAACACCCAGCTAATAATTACAGAGTGAAGCCCAGAGTCAGAACCTCTTCACTTCAAAGGCAAGACTTATACCTTCATGGGAAACAGTTCTTGCCATCAGCCTTTTGATACAGAAACTGCAATTACTGATGTAGAAACACTCATAACCAAGATCAATATAAATTTGTTTTAGAATTGTTAGTATAGTGTTTTCTTAACATCTGGATCACAGGAGTGTTTTACCCATTGCTGGCAAAACAAATGCTGTTCTCAGTGTAAGTTCATCTGAAAACATTTTCTCAAGAATTCAAGTCACTGTCATAATAAATATTACTAGATCGGCTATAGCTTACATTAGTTAAATAGCCTCAGTAGTTATTCTGTTAGTGTATGATTATGTTTTAGATTCTGTTGTTCTACTTAAGCTCATGACAGACACATCAACTATTTCATCCAGTGAGCCCTACCAACAGCACAAAATTCACAGAAATAGAAAATGAACAAATAATTAGTCATCAAGGAAATATTTACTGACTTTCAAAGAAATGTTTTAAGCTAAAAACAAAAAGTGGTACAATTTAACATGATAGAAACAGTTAAGATTACTCAGTGTGTCATGTACTTGCTACATAAGAAGGATGAGGACCTGAGTTCAGATCCTCGGTACATGTAAAAGATGGCTGTGGTGGCACACATCTCTAACCCTAGTACTAGTAGAGCTGAGAAGGGCAGACAATCCCCCGGCCCCACCAGAGCTGGCTGACCAGTAATTGTAGGTGGATCTGTGAAGTTCACACTTTCAAAAAACTAGAGAGTAAGAGAGGAAAACATCCAACATCAACTCTATCCTCCACACATGCACACACATATTCTTCCACATGCACACACATGTTATAAACATGTAAACATCAACCCCCTATATACACACAATGCATAGAAAATAATGGCTTTGGTAGCTAAAAAACTGAATCTTGGAAAAATTATTTGTGACGTACAGTCTAAGCCAAATGGCCACCTGATGAACATAACCAGGGGTGAAACAAGCCAACGTTATTCCACAAGAAAGATCTGAAAAGTAAAGAAACAATATTAATTTGAACACAAAGTACCATAGTGGGGAAAAACTTTCTTTTAACTCTGAAAGATCCAGTTAACACCTTCCAAAAAATTAGGAGGCATAAAGTGGAATGGAATGGGAGGTTTACAGATAGTTCTATGAATGTTCCTTAAAAAATCAAATGTTATAATGTGAAAAGCCTTACAAAGAACTCAAAGAAGATGTTGTTGTCCACATACTGGTACTCAAATGAGACATAGCCTGACTTCTTAAGGTGCACAGCATAGATCAGGGAGACAGTGCAGTCATCACGATTAGATTCTATATAGTTTCCACGAGGAAGCCAAGAGGAGCTGTGAAAACATAACCAAAAGTTCTATGTAAGAGCTTGGAAACCTCTTCTAGCCACAAGCCTTTGACTGAGAATCAGAAGTGGATTCCATGTACAAAACATAGCAGATAACATCAGCTGAAACTCAAAGGTTGAACTCCACTATTGAGAACTTTACATTTTACTTAATGTACATTTTTAAATTTCACTTAAAATAATTACATCATTTCTCCCCTTCCCTTTCCTCCCTCCAACCTTTCTTGTGTCCTCCCATCCCAGACCCTCCCATGTACACCTCTTTAATCCTTCTCAAATTGCCCTCAGAATAATAACAACACCAATAGACATGGAAGGTGTTCATAGACAAAAACTACAGTCGACTAACTACTGCTGAGAGAGGGAGACATAGTCTTCTCCAGGGATGAACCTCCTAATTAGCTATCCAATACTGAGCAGTCATCCCTGCAAACATACACAGATAAGCAACAGTACATGGACTCAGCAGATTGAATTTATATAGTTGTATGTGTGTATATATATATATATATATATATATATATATGCATTTATACATAAGACAATAACCATAGAAAAGGTTTATTTTTGGACGCCATGTGAGACCACAAAGGGGTAAGAGGTCCAGACATTCTCCGGATTTTCTCTGTGTGAGAACAGTGAGGGGAGAAGACCCAACCTCCTGTCATCTGCATTGCTGGAAATGTAGGCCAGGCTTGACCTAGGAAAGCACCAGGCTGTCTGATGGGGCTCTGCAGACCTGAGAGTATCCTGCCGAAAGGAGGGAACACAGAAACAGACCCAGGGAGCTGTGCAGGGGCTGTGCCCAGGTGGAAATCCTGGCTCAATGTATTTCTCTCTGGCATTTGGAGACACTCCTGTTTCCAGCATTATGTTCACACCAGATATGAAGCACAGTCCCAAGGATTTCAAGACCAGATGGCTTGATCCCTAAATGGTCTTAAACATTTTTAAACATGGACCTCTTTCTGAAATGTTTAAAACCCTTTATTTTGCAATGGTGATATTGGCTCCCCTTATTTCTTCCAATTAAGCTTATTAATGTCAAAGGACTTAATGAAACAGACTAGAGTGAAACCTTGCTTTTTTTGAGAAAGAAACTTACATTTTCTATTAAGTTGGCAAACTTGACATTCTATGCCCAGCACTTGGGTAGTCTTCCTCAGTGTCACAACCCAAAACTCCCTGTTTGTGTATAGTGAACTGTGCAACAATCACAAAGGAGTTTTTATTTTGAAGAAATAACACTCTTGTGTGTAATTCCACATATATGCATATACACACTCTTTGGTAGTTAGCTTTATTGTTCTTTGTCAGTTTTTGACAGCATTTACCCTAAATAAGAAGTAGCATCAATGGGATATTCCAATTCAGTCCTGCAAGCATATCTGTCTGCATTAAAATATTTGCTTCCAGTGACATTTTAGAAGTGTTTTAGAAGTGTTCATTAAAACAATTTGATAACTGTGTATCCATTATTAATAACCCAAGACAAGGAATTACATGTTACATGACTCATGTGACCAATAAGGAAGGCATCATTTCCATAATTATAAAGAATTCATATCACATCCATTTTACTGTTCTGTATCATTTGACCCATTTATGGCTCATTTTGAAAGAGTGAGATTTAAAAATTTATAAAGTTTTTTGGATGAAAAAAAGAAAAGGTTTATTTTTATAGCATATGGCATCTTAAATCTTGGTAAGGCTATATGATCAATTTGCTATAAAATGTCTTTTGGTTACCAAAAACAAAATCACTAATATTAATATTCATAATGTCAAGTAGAATTACTCTTTCAAATAACATCTGAGTTTGACTTATAGACATACATATACACAGAGACAGACACACACACACACACACACAGAGAGAGAGAGAGAGAGAGAGAGAGAGAGAGAGAGAGAGAG